TCTATCATGCACCAGCCTCTGAGAAAATGATACAATGGACTTTTAAAAACTACACTGAAAGCAATGGGTGCTGGGACATTCAAGCATTGGGATACACATTTAGCAGAAGCCACTTGGCTAGTCAATGCTAGAGGATCTGCCAGTCGACCTGACCCTGCCCAATCAAAACCTCTGCACACTGTGGAAGGAGATAAGATCCCCATAGTACAGATAAGGAACTTGTTGGGAAAAACAGCCTGGCTTATTCCTTCCTCAGGAAAGGGTAAACCTATTTGCAGGATTGTTTTTGCTCAAGAACCTGGGTGCACTTGGTAGGTAATGTAGAAGGATGGGGGAGTCCAATGTGTACCTCAAAGTGATTTAATTCTGGATGAGAATAATCCATTATTTGAGTAGCATATTATGGGAATTACTATCCCTTGTTTAGTCTCAAGGGAGGCTAGCAAGGGGAGAGTTCATTGCAATGTTAAAGGCTATAACTTGGCCCCAAAGGACTGGGGTGGAGATTGTAATGGAAAAACCATTAAATTGTTGTAACCCATGGTTTGCCTTGAAAGTTTTAAGAATTCCTATAGGAGGAACCACCTGAACCAGTGGAGGACAAGTCTTAGAAGCAGTGCAAATGCAGCAGTGACCCAACCTGAGCTGGCTTTGGTGCCCCATAACTCCACGCAACACATGCCCAATGTAATGGACTAAATGAACTCAGTGGACATTTTATGGACATCTGAGGACATTTGTGTACATTTTACGGACATTCCTCACGGGAGGTCCATAGACTAAGGGAATGATATTTGTGTATTATACCAAAGGACGTGAAGCGGGGTGGTGGGTAATGAGAACGTATTACATAGGGTGACATCTGAGCAAGACTTAAATGGTATGGAATAAGGGCTGGAGAATGTGCTGGGTTTAGCTGGGGTAGAGTTAATTTTCTTCACAGTAGCCACTATGGGGCCGTGTTTTGGATTTATGCTGGGTACAGTGTTGGTAACACAGGGATATTTTAGCTATTGCTGAGCAGGGCTTACACTGGGTCAAGGCCTTTTCTGCTGCTCATACTGCCCTGCCAGTGAGTGGGCTGAGGGTGCACAAGAAGGTGGGAGGGGACACAGCTGGGACAGCTGACCCCAGCTGACCAAATGGATGCTCCATGCCATATGATATAATGCTCAGCATATAAACCTGGGGGAAAGCTGTCTGGGGGGGCTGCTGCTTGGTGACAGGATGGGCATTGGTCAGTGGATGGTGAGCAATTGTTTTTGTTTGCATCGCTTGTCTTTCTTGGGTTTTATGTCTCTCCCTTTCTGTTATTGTCCTTTTCATTATTATTTTTATTTATTTATTAATGTATTTATTCTATATTTCAATTATTAAACTGATCTTATCTCAAAGTTTTCTCACTTTTCCAGTTCTCTCTCCCATCCCACCAGGGGTAGGGAGTGAGTGAGTAGCAGCATGGTGCTCAGTTGCTGGCTGGGGTTAAACCATGACACCCGTTAAAAGCCAAATCTTGTAGCATTACTCAGATGAAAAAGCACATTTTGATTCCTGGCTATGAACTAAGTATGTAACACGAGATGTACCCCTCTTAAAGGGAATGCTGCCAGCGTGATACCCCAGGGGTTTCCTTTTCTCTTTTCCAATGCCCAGGGCTGTAGCCGAGTGGTTGCTGACTGACTGATGGGTGTCAGCCTCGGTTCACTGCACTGCAAGTATCGGATTGTGTGAAGAGATCTCAAATGCCCTGGATGCAGCAGGAACTATAAAAAGGCAACAAGTCCAAGGCATCTGTGAGCTTTCTGCCCACAGGGATCACATGGAAACATGTTTGTTACCTTGCTTTTGGAGACTAGTGTTGATACTGAGACATTTTCTTCTGTGAAACCATTTTTCACAATATTTAGGTTCATGCATGAAATCATCTGTAGTCATTTGGAGGAGCAGTCTGATCAATTACAAAGTTAATCCTTCAGTGATGGGAACTGAGAAGGCTCCATAACACTTGCTCTGCAGGGCTGGCAGCAGCATTTATCACTTATTCTGGGCCAGGGTTTCATAGGCAGCCAATATCAGGATCCTTAATTTAACCACATCAGCATGTCTTAAACCTGCCTTGAGATGTGGCTGTTCTGAAATCCTTTGCTGTTGATAAATTTCTCATTCTGTTGTCCATGAGCAATACTGGCAGCTTTCTCCGTGACATTCACGTTCAGTTCTAATCAGATTATACAAGTAAGATATCACATACAATATGTGAAAACAGCTCTTCCCAGACAATTCGGAAATGCTCTGCCAAGTACTTTGAGGCTGATCTGGTAAACCCATAAAAATAATTCATCCAAGAACTTGTGATTAAATGCCACTAAAAAAAGAGGAGAGAAACTCTTTCCTCTGCATTGTTCTTGGTGCTAAAATGCAGGAAGCCAGCAGCAGGTCCCTACTCCAGCATGGTCCCCATTACATGAGCACTCTGGTGCCGGGCCAGGACAAGTTCCCATTCACCAAGCAGCATGCATTACACTTTCGTAAAGCTCTACAGAAGGTAAAATCCTCCTGGGTACGTCCTTACTCTGTTTGGGTCAGTACGTTCCAGTGGCTTCTAACTGATGACATCATCAGCAAGTAGAGACCTGGGCATGGAGCGATGTGAAGAGACCTGCAATACACAACAGCCAAATGCCAAATTCTCCATCCAGTTTTGTGAGGCAGGCCTGTGTACATAAGCAGGGCTGTGTGTAACCATGGTATTAACATACATAGAACAGACGGTATGATTCTGGCTGTCTGGACTAATTCCTTGCCAAGTTTCCAGTAGTTTAATCATGATCTAATTTGAAATAATTAGATCAGCTATGGTTTTTTAGAACTGCCTTTTCATCTCTGGGGCTATGAATACCACCACTGCAATCATAGCTAGAATAGTTTTTATAATAACCTATAATTCTAAATGTTCAAATCTACAAAATCTTCTGTAAACAAAAATCACCAAAGCAGGTTACTAACTGGTGATCCTGAACTCTATCCCAACAGTTGTGGCATAAGGCAGTGTGCAACCATTGGTCTAAACTTTTGAGCTTCTGTGAAGTTGGCATGTAAAGTTTAAATTCAGACCTGTATCTAGAATTCATTTTTTTAAATCCATGTTATATCTTCCATGAGCTTCCTGGCTGAGGAAGCTTCTTGACCTAAAAGTGTTGAAAATCTAGATCTGATTTTCTAGTGCGATCGTTCATCATCTTAAACCAATACACAAACTAAGCACAGACAATATGAGGGAGAAGTGTGCGTTGAGTGGAAATGTAGGGACATGTGTTTTACATTTAGTTTGGTTTGTTAGAAAACATTAGGTTCTTGACTTCTGCTCTATTAAAAAATGAATTAATTGCACGTGATGGAAACTTACAATCCAGACCATATTCAGGATTTCTTGTACAAATTCCTTGTGAGTTTTAGTACAGGTAATGAATAAAATGCAAGAATTGGACTACCCACTTTTCTAAAGTCAATTGCTTCAAACATCTTCAAGTCTAAACAACCATGACATAAATCTTTCTAATGAATGGGCATGTGCAGAAGTACAAGCTTAGGGCTTTAATTTTAAACTAAAGGAATTCTCTGGCTTCAGCTAGCAAGAGCCTGGGTTTTGTTCATCAGATTTTTCTTATATTCTTAAAATTATATTTGTATTCAGTTTAATTTGAATATGTTTTTGATTTGTCCAAACAGCAGATGGCTATCATAAAGAGTCTGTATTTAACTTGGCACTTTCCATTCCACATTCCTTTACTATTCATAGCACAGCAGTCATACTCATCTCCAGTACACATAAAAGGAGGCAGTTCAACATGCAGCTGCAGCTCTCCTCAAATGTTTGAGTATTTACAAACTCACAGCATTTTTTTCTTTTCATGTTGAGAAGACCAGATACTAGATATAGTGGGTGGATTTTTTTTTTTTTTCATCTCTACCACTCATGAAATGAGAGAAACTGGGACAGGAATTAAACCTGTATCTGCAGTAAGCAACCCCCTGCACTTAAAATTGGATTCATGTAGAGCCCATGTTGCTACAGGGTGAATGGGACTATAAACAGGCAGAAAAATTTGCTCTTGAAGACAAAACTGTCAAGCAACATGAAGAATAAAATATTCATCTGTTTGAAAAACAAGACTACCTAAAATGCATAAAAATAAAAGACATCTGTGCTAGAGTTATGCCTTTTTATTACTGGGGCTTCACAAGGAAGAATTTGATCCTTTTGAGTATTTGTAAGCAACATATTTTTTCTTAAGTTGCTAACAGCAGAATATGTTAAATAAAACCAATTTTCTAAATGTCCTTGAATGTTTTCTTTTGAATTAATGTCTTTGACAGAAAGTATCATTCTACTTACTGTGTTTTCAAACAAATATAGTTTCAAACATGTAACACACTTCTAAAATTAATCTCTCAAGGGTTTTTTTGTGCACAAGCTTGAACTGTGGCAACAGTTTTGCTTTTTTTTCTTGATAGTATCCTTCAACTTGTGTGCTTTTCCAGAGCCTAAGGAAGAAGAATTTAATCTCAGATATTAGAAGATAATTTTGTTTGGTTCATAAATCAAATTTCCACAAGAATCACAACCTGTCTATTGCGTCTTTAATGATTATGACTATGTACAACAAATGCTTATTCCTTAGAAACACAACTCCTCCTACTTAACTCATAAATGTGCTTTATTTTCAATATGTTATCAAATAGGTTTTTTTTCTGTGACTAGTCTAAGTTTTCTACTGTTCAGAAAGCCTGGCTTTCCAACACATACGTAGCTGCAGGCAAGCAGTCTAACATTTCACATCAAATGATAAATTCAGCATACTGAAATATATATACAAAGATTTTCCTTTACTGTAATATAAATACAGCCACATGCTTAGTACACTCTACAGCGTTGCTTGAATGATATTACTTTGTTATATTAAGATTGATTTTCTCTCACCAATAAACCATGGACAAGACTAATTCTTTTCCACCGAGTTTTTCATTTCAACAACCAAAATGCCATCATGGCAGAAAAGTGCAGACAAGTCTTTGTTCTCCACTCCATTAGGTAATTTGTATTGTCTGGTAAAGCTTCTGGATATGAAGCCGTGTTCATCCATCCTGGGTCCGTGCTGAGCTTTGATCAGGAGCCAGCCTTCGAAAGTCTGAATAATGATATCTTCAGGGCGGAACTGCACCACATCCAGCAAGACCTGAAAGCGTGCGTTTTCCTCCTCCTGGCCGCTCCTCCCAGCCCCGGTGGTGCTTTCCGTGATACACCTTCCATTGCCCAGCGCAGCTGTAGAAGGGCCTGGCAAAGCGTATAAAGAGTGGTCCAGTTTGTGGGCTTCCAGCTCTTGGACGGCAAACTGCTCCTGGTAGCGTACGGGAGTTTCCACCCAGTGCCTTATGTCGCTCTGGGGAAGCTGCAGAGTCAGAGCAAACTCTTCGCAGCCGTATGCCTTACCCACAGACTAGTTTATCAGTTGATGTCGCCTTTCACTTTTAGCACAGGCAGAGCTCAACATTTAATAGGGCGTGCTGCTCTCCAGTGCCGGGAGACTTTTTTCATCTTTTATCCACTAACAATAGAGCACTATTTATAGCGCTGGGGTCTTGAGTGGCTTCGACACATGCACAGCTTTCATGCATAAGTAGTAAAAGCAAAACTTTAATGCACCTCTGATTACTGCAGTATTGTGCTGTTCATCGTTATGGATAGTGAGCAGACAAATAATGTGGAAGATTATTTAATTTAAATGGAAGTTTAATGATTCTGTTTTTTCCAAGGAATACATGGCAATAGGTACAAATTCTGTATTTCTTCTAACTGAAATACAAAGTTTTTGAGGGAAGGGATTTAATTAACTTGGCAGTAGGAATGGAGCAGATTTCAGGTTAGGTAGAATATAAATTTATCAAGTGCATTGGATGTTGTTGCAGAAGTTGTGCATAGGTGAAATACAGGCATGGTTAACCATGTTATTGGTGGGATGAGGGAAATGTAACCATCCCTGCCCAAAGAAGGGGTGCCTGAAGGGCTGAGTCTGCAAACTCTGTGACCTGCAAACACAGCAGAGCCTTCTCCGGCGTGCCAGGGAGTCAGATGCAAGAGCGCAGGGAGAATCACTGTGAAAGCTCATGTTTCACAGCTTCCAGGAGAGGGCAGAGTTATTTTTCCCCAGCAGAATAGTAAAGACAACTCCAAACCTTTAAGGCTATCACACTGTCCCAGTAACCTTCATCTTCTGGGGCTTAACAGCTTGAATCTATGATACCACGTATCATCTGTGTCTGGGGAGCAGGGCTCATGACCTCAAAGGCTCTCTGTGGTGTAATCTTTGTGCTACTCCGTGATCTCAGGGCAAATAATGCCTACAAGTGTTAATAATTTGGTTAACAAGACCTAAGAGGAAAGTGCAGTGGAAAGGGAAAAGTGTTTATAATATGTTTGCTGGGCTTGATGATGTAAAGCAGTGTGCACCATGGCAACTGATGGTGAAAACTGTTTATTTCCCTCAGTGGCACTGATGCTAGAAATAATCAAATGAGATACTTTTATTCCTTCTTGTTTGGCTGTAGTTGTTCAGAGCTCTGTTCCCCTCTTGTCCTTACGTCTTCCATTACCATGAAAACAGCAGATCAGTTTCTGTGGGATCTTTGGTTGCTAATGGACTTGGGAAGAAACAGGCATTTGAATTTCGATATCTAACAGAAAGGAACTTCTGTATTGAGTCAATAGCAGAGTGGGATTACCAGACATATCTATAATAAACGTTCTACAGTTCCTATTTTATTTAAGACTCATGAAGGCTGCATCGCAAGGTAAGGAAATTTTCAAAGGTAGATAAAAGGTTTGAGATAATTTACATTAATGGCCAATCATTTAATTGAGCATTGTGGGAAAGGAGAGTTATGCTGCTTTATTTCTATTGGTTCTTCTCCTGTCAAATCGTCCTCCAGAAATAATTTAAAAATGCAATTCCAAATGTATAGCTTGCTAAAATAGTGATAAAAATAACCTGGAGTGTTGCCCATTATCTGTTTAGCAGCTGTTTTCTGTTTCGTTAGCCAATTATTCACTTGATGAGGAAACTTTAACCCTGAAGTGAAGTAGTATGCCTGGTTGGTTGTGATATTATGCTTTTAGAGATTGCTGAAAGTTATTGCCATCCCTCCTGAATTCTGTGATGATAGCCTGACTTATTTTACTTCAATTTTGCACTTCATTAATAAGTGTACTGTGCAGGAATACTGCGATCTTTTTATTGTATTTTAATTATTCCCATCTTCTCTGAAAAAAAAGGTAAACTTGCCTGTACTTACACTTTAAATGAAAACAGAAACCACCACCCCAGTGCATCTCACTGTGGGACAGCTATATCTATTCACAGGAACAGTTGCGTTAGTCTCTCAAATTTCTGTGTTACTTGGGACTGTGTCTGGCCTAATCAGCACGAAAGATGCTTTGAATACCCTTTAAATTCATGTCATGCACAAAGCTCTACAGAAGTTTATAGGATCCTTTTCTACTCTGTAGGACAAGGATTCAGAAAGATTTGGTGATGAAGCCATGTACCCTCTTTCTGATCCCCCATCCTGCACTCTCATCGGTCCCAGTCCCCTCTTCCCTCTGTTTGCCGCCTAAAGGCTCAGGAATTAGCACCATCTTTCTTATCTCATATGCGAATATGTCAACTGGGAAAAGAAAACAGCCATGAAATGCAAACATGCCAGCAATTTAGAATATAGTTTTCGTCTTTCAAATTTAAATATGAATGTGGTGCTGCCATAGTGAGGAACTTTTGATGCTCATGCTGCTATGCTCTTCAAAATATCTATAGCACACTTCAGTCAAACAATGCATTTTAAAAACAATTGATTACTGAGGTAATTTTAAACCTTCAGAGCAGATCCGGCCAGAGCAGGATCGATGTCCTTAATTGCCAGCTCGGTGCCTGGGGTTTTCTTTCCCTGGTTTTCTGTGCTGGTGAAGGCCCCGCCTTGTGCTGCCCAGCGGGTGGGCAACCACCGCCTGGCGTGGGAAGTCTTGCAGAGCTGTTCCTTGCAAAACTGAAGTGAGGTAATTAGTTAGCTTGGGGTACAAACTTGGGGCCTTGCCCTTGTCAGCCCACGCTCTCTTTCGGCGACGGCACATATTTATGGTCTCCGTGTCTTTGGGGGATTTTTAAAGGAATAGGATCCACTGGCAGTTTGCTACAGTTGGCTGGGAGAAACACGGTGCCAGTATAAATGGGTCACACCGACATCTTGTGGTGAGACGAGAAAATAGCTGCGGAAAGAAAATCGCAAGCTGCCTGCTGCAAGTTAATAGCAGGTATCCTTACCAGTCTGTGAAATACTTGGGCGGAAAGACAAATCAAAGGAAGAAAACCGCAAGAGTTTAACTCACAACAGCCTATTTTCAAGCTATTATAAGCTTCTTTCTCAGTGTTTTGGAGGTGGAGGGGATAAATACTTGTCATGTTGAACTCATGGAAAGTATAGAAAGCAAGCATCCTGGTAATGCTGCACTGTAAACTGCAGATGTGTAAGGTGCACAAACTGATGAGAATAACACATTTTTGATGCATATCTTAAAGAAATACGGGTGCATCCTGCTTGAATCAACTTTAAAATAATAGATTGCCTTGTCACAGTTCTCTGCGTGCTTGATTCCCTGAAGTATGTATTTCAACTACCATTGAAATTCAGTAACTGCTGAAAGGGGGGAAAAGTGAAAAGGCTGGCAGGATTAAGTGAACAAGAACTCTTCTCGCAAAAACTAACAGGCTAAATTGAAATGAGAGACATGTAATTACCCAAATTAATTTAGGCAGAGCACTGCAATTACTTTTACCAAAGCACCCAAGGATGCCACTCATGATCTGTTTCACATGTCATTCAAAAGAGATGCTGCCACTTCAGACTTGGCAATACGTAAGAAATGTAAGGAAGAGTAGGACTTGGTGGTTTTACTGGTGCTGTCTCTGTTATACCCAATATAGGAGTTTAAGCTTTGTGGCAATACTGAAGAGACAGACAGTAAAATAAAATGTATGTGAGAATGGAATGTGAGGTGATGCTTATGGGAACTGGATGGTAAAAAGCTATTTTCCACATGTTTTTTAATATATTTTTGTAGAGTGAGAAAATTATTGTCTCCTACATGTGTCACTTTGAGTCCATTACTTCTTAGAGCTATGAGTTGTCCTTTTAGCTGGTTTGTTAGATCTGGATATATGTAATCTCTGAAGGAATCAAAACTGCAGTCACAACTACTGCAAGTGTCTAATCAGCAGATACCAGGTGTTCTGTTTTTAAGAAATATTAAGGGATTCTTTTTTATTAATTTCTCATTCCAATCACATGGTGTTTATATCGGTCGGTGAATCACAGCATAGCTCTTTCTGAAGCAAGATTTCATGCTGTGTTATAAAATTTCTAGCAAGTTGTAAAGGCTGTGTTGTTACACAGCCAGCTTAACTGAAGGAGGGCTTCAGTCTGTGGGTCACGTCCTTCAAAACCTGGAAAAGGCTGGATCTGCCCAACCTCTTGGAAAATCTCTTCAGGGCACTGATGCTCACTTGTAACTGTAAATTCAATCTCCTAATTTTAGGGGCCTCTTAAGAAGTGGAAAACTAATCTCAGCTTTTGGAATAAAAATCAAGTGTTTGCCCATTTGTTAGGAAGCTATGCAACAAATATAAGTAAGCATGGAAAGGACTATCACTTTGACATGTTACATCCACTATTGCAAGAACTTTTTCTGACATGTTGAGATGCTAGAAGGACAGAAGAAGCATGAGGATGAGGGGTGACAGGACCACAGCAGCTGATATTGGAGCAACATCTTTACCGAGCAGTGAAGGAATAAAAATGCAACTTGTATAATAATGATTTTAAGTTTTTAAATTACTAGAAAAGTTACTTTAAAGCCATGTCACAGAACTCTTTACAAGTATTCGCTGTGTTATTCACATAGCTTGTTTTCTAAACATTCTTATCTCTGTTATAGGCAAATGCATCTGTGCCTCACAAATTCATAAGGAACTCCTATAGAAAGCAAACTATAGTATTTTAGTTAGAGTGATAATAATCTGCTCACTTCTTGCACACAGAACAGTGGAGAGGAAATGAACAATTAAAAGAGCATAATGAGCCTAAGGGCTTGGAAGCTCTGTTTTACCACTGAAAGGCAGGATCTAATGCACTCTTGCTGTAGAAACAGTCTTTTTTTCACCAGTTAAAAATTAACTAGTGTTCCAAGACGAATGCCAGTTTTCAGGTTTCCTCCTCCTCTGCCTCACTGAGGTCTTGACTTGAGACTTGATAGGAATAACTCAAGAGACTTGAGTACAGTAAGACTGGTGTATTTATTTTGGATCTGTTTAAACTTCATAGCAAGAGCTCACTTGCTTATTTAGGTTGTGAAACTCATATTCCACTGATCAGATCCTCAGGTTTGCATGGTTTGAGTTTTTAAAAATAAGTAGAAAATAGAGTAAAAATAGAGTAAAAAGAGTAG